ACAAATAAAATTTAAGATGTTGATGACGATGCCGAATGAATTAAGGAAGAAAGAAAATGTTATATGATGATAATGATGTTTCGGATTGACTGAAGAAAATAAACGTATGATGATGATGATGATGCCGAATGAATGAAGAAAGAAAGAAAATGTGAGATGACTATGATGATGATGAAGACTGACTGAAGAAAATAAATGTAAAATGATGATGATGATGATGATGCCGAATGAAGGAAGAAGAAAAGAAAATCCAAGATGATGATGCTGAATGAATGAAGAAAGAAAGAAAATGTTAAACAACGACAATGATGATGATGATGAATGAAAAAGGAAAGAAAATCTATAATGAGGCAGAATGAAGAAAGAAAGAAAGAAAGAAAGAAAATCTAAGTTGATGATGAAGAAAAGTATAAGATGGTGATGATGATGATGCAGAATGAATGAAGACAGAATCAAAATATAAGATGATGATGATGACGATGTTGATGATGAAGAATAAAAGAAAACGTAAGCTGATGATGATGATGATGCAGAATGATCTGATTAGTTTCTTTAACGGCATATCAACACCTTATGAGTCATTTAATTCTGACATTTATTTTTCTTGGAAACTGTGAAATAATAAATATTAAAAAATATGACGTTATTCTGCTTTCACAACTGAATACATGGTAGATGATTCACAGCTTTTGTGCATATACACGTTTGTGCAGACCTAATTACTAGAGATGATGATATGTGTGTTTTATGTTGTAGGTTTGTTGAAATTATATTTTGAAATACTATTTAATTCCTTTAAGAAATTATAGGATATATGGATTAATGTCATGAAAGAGTTCTTTTCTGTTGGTTGTTTGAGCGGCTGATTTTGGTTGATGGGTTATCAACCTCTATGGGTTATTTAATTAAGAAATTCAAAAATTTTTATCACAATTTTATGTCTCCAACTAAATATAATTTGTATGCCTTCAACTACAGATAAAATTTACCGTTGGTAATTTTACTCGAAAAATGTAAGATGATGATGATGGTGATGACGATGCTGAATGAATGAATAAAGAAAGAAAGAAAGAAAAAGAAAGAAAAGTAGAGGATGATGAGGAAGAAAAATGAAGTAAGGAGAATCTATAATGTTATAAAAACAAAATGCCACAAAAAAGACTAAAAAGCAACACGTGAAATTTTCCTCGAATTACACACACACACACACACACACAGACATATATATATATATATATATATATATATATATATATATATATATATATATATATATATAATGCAGTGTTGAAAATGACCAGCGATTGTTGAAATCACTCGAACAGTTACACACGGCCAATCTATACATTTATCTGGACCAGGCATGCATTAATTTATAGAAAAATAAGAGAAAATCACAACAAAAATTTATAAAAATATAGTTAAGCAAAGTTGAGACTGGCCAGTACCTAGATAGGTGACCGCTTGTTAACACCAGGTGCTGTAATATTGGATATGCGACTGGTGTAATTGACAGATTGATTTCCTTTTTACGGATTATCAAACTTTTGCAGGTTGTTGAAAGCAAGAAATATGTTTTTAGTTTGTAAGATTCTTTTGGAAATAACAATGAAGGGTTACTGATACAATTTTTTTTACTAATTAACCCATAGATAGGAGAAGAGGTGAATTTAAACTTGGAAAGTTAAAGTAAAATAACTGATTCTGAGATATCCGGAACAGCCATGGTATGTGGAACTAGAAAAATCTACCCCGGTAGACAAAATATAGGGTTCAGTTCGTAATTCCATTCACCTGAAGAAAGCGGGGATGTACAATGACCGAAACGTCCTGTACATGGCAACAAAGATGGGGATAACAGTCCGAACATTGTAAATAGTATAAACATAAAAATTATACATAAAATTATGTATAAACATGAAAATGTCTTAAAATAATTTTCGGTCTTTGTCCATTTTCATAATGTGTGACGTCATTTGTTTACATTTGGATACGCATCGAGCAGATATGAATGTACGTGAGAAAATCATGGCGAATTGTAGTTTAAAAACAGTAAAATCGACCTTGCTAACCGAAACGCTCCTCTGTGGCTCAATCCGTAAAAGCACGTCAGACTATATGACGGTTCCGTATAGGATACAGGTTCGATTCCTATCGGAGGACGCATATTTTCTATTGACAAATTCTCGGACATTCAGGCCGGTAAATGTTGTTTAATACTGTTTATTATAAACAGAGCGTTTACTTAACTATTTGTATCTATAAATAAAGAATGTATAAACATAAAAATGTCTTAAAATAATTGTAAATAGTGTAAATAATTAAATTATAGACAGAAATATGAACAGATATGAAAGATTTAATCGACTGTTTTTTATCAGACGTTACTAAACTAACATTACAGTATAAAACGGACAGAAGTGCTTTCACGGGAAAACAAGTAGCATCCAGATAAATAAGGACGGCTCGTTGCAACCTTCTCCGATGATAACATTTACAAGACGAAAGAACAACAGGTCGTATACATTGGCAACGAATATTCGAACGTACGCATATATAATAAATACGTTTCAAGGGTTTCAAAGGTGAATTTTCTAACAACTACTCCAGGGCGACGAAAAACAGTTAAGTAATTACTTAGTTTGGCACAAGGACAACAAGTTTCGGGCGCTTAAGCAAAGGAATCGAACTCTCTAAATTGAGGCTGACGCGCGCAGGCGTTCGCGGGAGACTGTAAATAGGATATTTATAAAGAGGGGAAGGAATGTCGGGAGAAAGGCGAGCAAAGATGACATCCGACGGAAAGCAGGGAGGCTGGCCGGAAGGTTAAAAGGAAATCCCTAGATACACACGTGGTCAACAGATTGACAAAGCAATCAAGAGGAAGAGGCAAAGAAGGTGGCTGAGAAAAGTTTTATTCAAATGAACTGAATATGAAAATAAGGGTTATTTTTTGGGGTTTTTTTTTTTTTCGGAAATTACTCCCCATCCTTATATGTCTCCAAAAAGAAAAAAAAAAGGGAAAAAGGACGTACAGAGGAATTAATAGAATAATAATAATAATTAATAATAATTAATAATAATAATAATAATAATAATAATAGACGAATTAAAAGAAAGAACGAATGAATGAAAGGTCAGAGGAATTTAAAAAGGAAACAGAAGACATATTGAAAGAAAGAAAAGAAGAGATAAAATGGCGGAAATATAAAAGAGAAGCAGAAAGAAAAAAGAGAGAAATTAAAAGAAAGAACGAACGAATGGAAGAACAGAGGAATTAAAAGAAAAAAAAAAGACAGAGAAGACATTTTGAAAGAAAGAAAAGAAGAGATAAAATGGAGAAAATATAAAAGAGAAACAGAAAGAAAGAAAAAAGAGAGAAATGAAGAGAAAAATCGAACGAATGGAAGAACAGAGCAATTTAAAAAAAATACAGAGAAGATATATTGAAATAAAGAAGAGATAAAAAAAAATAAAATGGAAACAGAAAGAAAGAAAAAAGAGGGAAATTAAAAGAAAGAACGAACGAATAAAAGGACAGAGGAATTAAAAGAAGAAGAAAAGAGATATTGAAAGAAAGAAAAGAAGAGATAAAATGGAGAAAATATAAAAGAGAAACAGAAAAAAGAGGGAAATTAAAAGAAAGAACGAACGAATAAAAGGACAGAGGAATTAAAAGAAGAAGAAAAGAGATATTGATAGAAAGAAAAGAAGAGATAAAATGGAGAAAAATAAAAAAGAAAACAGAAAAAGAGGGAAATTAAAAGAAAGAACGAACGAATAAAAGGACAGAGGAATTAAAAGAAGAAGAAAAGAGATATTGAAAGAAAAAAAAAAGAAGAGATAAAATGGAGAAAATATAAAAGAGAAACAGAAAAAAGAGGGAAATTAAAAGAAAGAACGAACGAATAAAAGGACAGAGGAATTAAAAGAAGAAGAAAAGAGATATTGATAGAAAGAAAAGAAGAAATAAAATGGAGAAAATATAAAAGAGAAACAGAAAAAAAAAGAAAAAAGAGAGGAATTAACAGAAAGAACGAACGAATGGAAGAACAGAGGAATTAAAAGAAAAAAAAAACAGAGAACACATATCGAAAGAAAGAAAAGAAGAGACAAAATGGCGGAAATATAAAAGAGAAGCAGAAAGAAAAAAGCGAGTAATTAAAAGAACGAACGAAAGAGAGGAATTTAAAATAAAAATAAAAGAGAAATTAAAAGAAAGAAAAGCATAGAGGATTTATTTAAATTTTACTGCGGAACAATCCCGAGAGAACTACCAGGATTTATTATTAGCACACACCATCTTAACATACAATATGCAGATGACACAATGTTGGTAGGTAACCTTGAAATATTTGGGAAGTATATTAGAATAATCCAGAACCTATACTGTCAGCAAATCGCCTGCATATGGATAAAAAAATTAGTTCAATAAATATATAAAAATAGAAAGGAGTATAAGACAAGGATGTGTCGTCTCGCCGGACTTATTCAAACTATACAGTGAGGCAATTCTGAGAGAACTAGAAGTCCTATTAAGATTCATTATTGGCGATTACAATCTTAACAATATAAGATATGCAGATGATGCAGTGTCGATAGCAGACTTAGAAAGGAAACGACAAGAATTCCAACGGTGGGTAGTTAAAGAAAGCGAGAAGAAAGGACTAAGTATCAATTGTCAGAAGACTGAATGCTTGGTTTTCAGCAAAATAAACAAATTGGAGATATCAAAATCAGACAAGTACAAAAATTTAAATATTTGGGAAGTGTTTTAAAAGAGGACGGAAAATGCGACACTGAAATCCGAAGGCGTATTGGGATGTCGGAAGATGCTTTCCAAAAGCTAAGCAAATTATTACGAAACAGGAAAATTTTGTTAGAAACAAAGAAAAGGGCTAATGAAATATTATGTAATATCTTTTTCTCCTATATGACAGTGAATGGCGGATAATTTTATCACAGATGAATAAGACACTTGAAGCAACAGATATGTGGTTCTACAGAAGGGTGTTGAGAATAACATGAGCCAAAGTGAAAGAAAGAAAGAAAGAAGGAAAGAATAAAAGGAAGGAAGGAAGAAGGAAAGAAAGGAAGAACGAAAGAAAGAAACAATGAAACAAAGAAAGAATAAAAGGAAGGAAGGAAGGAAGGACTAAAAAAAGAAAGAAAGAAAGTAAGAAAGAAACAAAGAAAAAGTCTGAAAGAAAGAAAAAGTTTGAAAGGAATAAAGAATGAAAGAAATGAATAAAAAAAAAAGAAAGGAAGAACGAAAGAGAGGAAGGAATAAAGAAAGATAAAAGAAAGAAAGAAAAATAGAAAGAATGAACGAAAGCAAGGAAGAAAGAAGGCAGGAAGAAAGACAGAAAGAAAGAAACAAACAAACAATGAAAGAAAGAAAGAAAGAAAGAAAGAAAGAAAGGAGGGAGAGAAGAACGAAATATAGAAAGAAAGAAAGAAAGAAAGAAACAAACAAACAAACAAAAAACGAAAGAAAGAAAGAAAGAAATAAAGAACAAAAGAAAGCTTGGTTTATTGTTTTTATCTACGATGACACGGTGTTGATAAAGGAAAAATAAAGGAACCTTCAAGAATTCCTAGACAAAACGAATAAAGGAAAGCGAGAAGAAAGGACTAAGTATCAATTGCACTAAGACAGTGTGCATGGGTGTCAGCAAGAAGAACAGCCAAAGATGTGAACTATGAAATAGAAATGCTAAATCCGAAGAGTTTTAACACGGAAGGCAAAATGTCGAAATCCGAAGTAGCTTTAGAATAGCAAAGGTTGACTTCCAGAAGCTAAACAATGTTTTAAGAAACAGGAACATTTTGTAGGAAACAAAGAAAAGGCTACGGAGCTGTTACGCAATATTTGTTCTCCTATAATGGTAGTGAATGCTAGACAATTTCATCATCGATAATGAAGAGACAGGAGGCGACAAAAATGTGGTTCTACAGTAGGATGCTGAGAATACCATAGACCGAAAATGTGAGTAACGAAGAAATTTTAAAATGGTAACAAAAGAGACACTTATACTTAACATCAGAAAGAGACAGTTGAAGTACCTAGGGACAGAAGGAATGGCCTAACTAGCGAGCGAAAAGGACATTTTTAATGAGGAAAGAAGGCTTGGCGATTTGGTTTGGTTTGGTTTATTTTAAAGCATAACAACCGCAATGGGTTATTTAATGCCGACAAAATTTGTACTGCTGGTAATATTTTTTTACAAATTATTTCTGGTATAAAAACCCATTTTTACACTTTCATAGTGTTTTGACTCGAGATTGGGGGTTAACTATTTGCCCATACCTGGGACCCTAACAGGTGCTACCACCCTGGATCAGGGTGGAACTGAGAATACGAACAATTAAGAAGTGGTTCCACGATCCTGAAAACTTCCTGATCAGAGGCCTTGCTATTGGATGTAGTTTATCGTCTTACCCAGGACGCGGATGTAGTTTATCGTCTTACCCAGGAAGCGGATTTAGTTTATCGTCTTACCCAGGACAGGAGGTTTGGCGAATTCGACACTCACATGACATGGTGAAGGCAAGAGGAATAGATGGAAACAGCGAGGATCCTACCTATTTAGCTTGACGTGCCTCAACCGATTTGGCCACGAAAGAGCGTTCGGTTAGCAAGGTCAAACTTACTGTATTCATGGAAGATCGAAGTTTAAATGACGGTTCCGTATAGGATACAGGTTCGAATCCTGTCAGAAGACGAATATTTTCTGTGAAAATTTTTCGGACATTCAGGCCGGTAAATGTTGTTTAATACTGTTTATTATAAACAGAGCATTTACTTGAATATGTGTATCTATAAAAAGAATGCATAAACATAAAAATGTTTAATATATATATATATATATATATATAGATTGTCGTCGGTATCCGTCCGTCTAGAGAGACGATGGAGTAGTGAGGGATATATGGAGAACTAGGGCTGCCCAGATGTCTAGTTCCCCCTCTCGGCCTTGCTAGCAGAGTCCAAAGGAGAGGATAAACCAATACAATTTGGTGCCAACGCGGCTGCAGGAGTTGCCGGAAGGTAGCACAAAGTGCCGTCCATCCGTCTTAGGAGCTCCACTCCGGGTTTGAATTCAGAGTTGTTCATCTCCTAGACCAGTTGCCATCCAAGGCTATGGAACCCAGTCTGTCCTGCTATTTATCCATACATGTATGGGAATTAGTGGCGTCTGACCGAGTATAGTTCGAAGTCGTTAATATTAATGTATCTATGAACTACAAAGTCTCTCTTACAAAGGTGGATTACAAAAAAATATAACAGTTGAAATATCTACCGCATATAAAGAGGAAAGACGCTTATGTATGGCGGAAAAGCGAAAAGACAAAATTTACTAAGAACATCAAAAGACAGGAAATCGATCAATACTAGACACTCTCCTCACAGATGAAGAGAAGACTTGAAGCAACGAAAATGTGATTCTACAGAAGGATGCTGAGAATATCATGGACCGAACATGTCAGCAACAACGAAGTATTAGAGAAAATGGAAACATAAAGGACACTTAAATATTTGCCCCAGAAAGAGGGAGATAAAAATCCCAAGGCGCATTATAAGGAAAGAGTCTGGGAAAATCTGAAAATCACAGGAAGTATTGAAGGCGAGAGAAACGTAGAAAAATAAAGATTAAACAACCTAGAGAGCTTGAGTAAATGGATGGTGGAACAAGGTTTAGGAGATTGAAGGCAAGAGGGACGGAGGAAAGCAACGCATAACCTACCTAGAAAGATTGAGTAAATGGATGGCGGAACAAGGTTTAAGAGATTGAAGGCAAGAGGGACAGAGGAATGAAACGCATAACCTACCTAGAAAGATTGAGTAAATGGATGGCAGACAAGGTTTAGGAGATTGAAGGCAAGAGGGACAGAGGAAAGCAACGCATAAACTACCTAGAGAGATTGAGTAAATGGATGGCGGAACAAGGTTTAGGAGATTGAAGGCAAGAGGGTCAGAGGAAAACAACGCATAAACTACCTAGAGAGATTGAGTAAATGGAAGGCGGAACAAGGTTTAGGAGATTGAAAGCAGGAGGGACAGAGGAAAACAACGCATAAACTACCTAGAGAGATTGAGTAAATGATTGGCAGAACAAGGTTTAGGAGAGGGAAGGCTAGAGGGACAGGGGAAACCAACGCATAACCTACCTAGAGAATTTGAGTAAATGGATGGCGGAACAAGGTTTAGGAGATTGAAGGCAAGAGGGAAAGAGGAAAACAACGCATAACCTACCTAAAAATATTGAGTAAATGAATGGCGGAACAAGGTTTAGGAGATTGAAGGCAAGAGGGACAGATGAAAACAACGCCTAACCTACCTACAGAGATTGAGTAAATGGATGGCAAGAGGAAATTGAAGAACAAAGTTTAGAGAGATTGAGATTGAGCAAGAACAAGGATTGGGGAACAAGGTTTAGGGAGGGACAGAGGAAAACAACGCATAACCTACCTAGAGAGATTGAGTAAATGGAAGGCGGAACAAGGTTTAGGAGATTGAAAACAAGAGGACAGAGGAAAACAACGCATAACCTACCTAGATTGAGTAAATGGATGGCGGAACAAGGTTTAAGATTGGATGGGGACGGAACAAAGTTTAACGCATAACCTACCTAGAGATTGAGTAAATGGATGGGGAACAAGGTTTAGGAGAAAGGCAAAGAGGGACAGAGGAAAACAACGCATAACCTACCTAGAGAGATTGAGTAAATGGATGGCAGAACAAGGTTTAGGAGATTGAAGGCAAGAGGGACAGAGGAAAATGTCGGAACAACGCATAACCTACCTAGAGAGAAAACAACGCATAACCTACCTGAGTAAAATGGATGGCAGAACAAGGTTTAGGAGATTGAAGGCAAGAGGGACAGAGGGAAAACAACGCATAACCTACCTAGAGAGATTGAGTAAATGGATGGCGGAACAAGGTTTAGGAGATTGAAGGCAAGAGGGACAGAGGAAAACAACGCATAACCTACCTAGAGAGATTGAGTAAATGGATGGCAGAAACAAGGTTTAGGGAGATTGAAGGCAAGAGGGACAGAGGAAAAACAACGCATAACCTACCTAGAGAGAGATTGAGTAAATGGATGGCGGAACAAGGTTTAGGAGATTGAAGGCAAGAGGGACAGAGGAAAACAACGCATAACCTACCTAGAGAGATTGAGTAAATGGATGGCGGAACAAGGTTTAGGAGATTGAAGGCAAGAGGGACAGAGGAAAAAACGCATAACCTACCTAGAGAGATTGAGTAAATGGATGGCGGAACAAGGTTTAGGAGATTGAAGGCAAGAGGGACAGAGGAAAACAACGCATAACCTACCTAGAAAGATTGAGTAAATGGATGGCGGAACAAGATTTAGGAGATTGAAGGCTAGAGGGACAGAGGAAAACAACTCATAACCTACCTAGAAAGATTGAGTAAATGTATGGTGGAACAAGGTTTAGGAGATTGAAGGCTAGATGGACAGAGGAAAACAACGCATAACCTACCTAGAAAGATTGAGTAAATGGATGGCGGAACAAGGTTTAAGAGATTGAAGGCAAGAGGGACAGAGGAATGAAACGCATAACCTACCTAGAGAGATTGAGTAAATGGATGGCGGAACAAGGTTTAAGAGATTGAAGGCAAGAGGGACAGAGGAAAACAAACGCACAACCTACCTAGAGAGATTGAGTAAATGGATGGCAGAACAAGGTTTAGGAGATTGAAGGCAAGAGGGACAGAGGAAAACAAAGGATGGCAGAACATTTACCTACCAAGAGAGAGAAAAACAACGCAAAACTACCTAGAGAGATGAGTAAATGGATGGCGGAACAAGGTTTAGGAGATTGAAGGCAAGAGGGACAGAGGAAAGCAACGCATAAACTACCTAGAGAGATTGAGTAAATGGATGGCGGAACAAGGTTTAGGAGATTGAAGGCAAGAGGGACAGAGACAGAAAACAACGCATAACCTACCTAGAGAGATTGAGTAAATGGATGGCGGAACAAGGTTTAGGAGATTGAAGGCAAGAGGGACAGAGGAAAACAACGCATAACCTACCTAGAGAGATTGAGTAAATGGATGGCAGAACAAGGTTTAGGAGATTGAAGGCAAGAGGGACAGAGGAAAAACAACGCAGAGAACCTACCTAGAGAGATTGAGTAAATGGATGGCAGAACAAGGTTTAGGAGATTGAAGGCAAGAGGGACAGAGGAAAAAAACAACGCATAACCTACCTAGAGAGATTGAGTAAATGGATGGCAGAACAAGGTTTAGGAGATTGAAGGCAAGAGGGACAGAGGAAAAACAAACCTACCCATTAACCTACCTAGAGAGATTGAGTAAATGGATGGCGGAACAAGGTTTAGGAGATTGAAAACAAGAGGGACAGAGGAAAACAACCATAACCTACCTAGAGAGATTGGATGGCGGAAATGGATGAGATTGAAGGCAAGAACAAGGTTTAGGAGATTGAAATGGATGAAGGCAAGAGGGACAGAGGAAAAAAAACAACGCATAACCTACCTAGAGAGATTGAGTAAATGGATGGCGGAACAAGGTTTAGGAGATTGAAGGCAAGAGGGACAAGAAAACAACGCATAACCTACCTAGAGAGATTGAGTAAATGGATGGCAGGAACAAGGTTTAGGATTTAGAAGGAAAGAGGGGAAAGAGGAAACAACATAACCTACCTAGAGAGATTGACCTATGGCGGAACAAGGTTTAGGAGATTGAAGGCAAGAAAACAACGAGGAGGAGTAACAACGGAGATTGAAGGCAAGAGGGACAGAGGAAAACAACACATAACCTACCTTTAGAGATTGAAGAGATTGAGTAAATGGATGGCGGAACAAGGTTTAGGAGATTGAAGGCAAGAGGGACAGAGGAAAACAACGCATAACCTACCTAGAGAGATTGAGTAAATGGATGGCGGAACAAGGTTTAGGAGATTGAAGGCAAGAGGGACAGAGGAAAACAAAACGCATAACCTACCTAGAGAGATTGAGTAAATGGATGGCGGAACAAGGTTTAGGAGATTGAAGGCAAGAGGGACAGAGGAAAACAAAACCTACATAACCTACCTAGAGAGATTGAGTAAATGGATGG